CAAAAAAAAAAAAAAACACCGTTGAAATTATTTAGACAATAGTACAAAGGTATACGATGATTTGCTCAGCAACCTGACCGAATCAAGTAGACTACGATTTAAAGATGAAGCATTATGTTACGGATTGCCATATGGAACATTCGGAACAATTGACTGGTTTATAACAATTGTGGAGATCGCTTTAACCTACGCAAATCTTTCCCTATATTCTCCTTGGAAATGGGGTAAGAAATGGGGTAAGAAATACGAGAGACCAAAGCTAAAGTCGTTGCTTTTTAGCTCTATTAAAGTAATTGGCCCAGTTATCTATTCAATTGTCACTTGCCATTCAAATTGGACAATGGTATTAATTGCAATAGGACAACTCATTCCTTGGAGTATTAAGATAGCAAACGATGGTTATGCTAGTAAAGTTGGCGATGATTTAGAAAAAAATTATCGCACTTATGGACTTGTGTTAACTGTTATATTGCATATGATCGGTTGGGTAGGTCTAGGTGCGATTCTTTTTGATCCGTACAAGAATGCCATTCAAATAGCATTCATGATGATGTTCACTACAGCATATTTAATATGCTATCACATGTGTTGCTGGAAATATATGTGTAAATGTTTGCATCCATATCCTTGTTGTTTAATGGTGTTATTTTATATACTTGTAACCACACATGTCTTAACTTTACACATATGTCTCGCTAAACTTAATAATAATATGAATGGAGTTCCTCCAAAGATTGTCAGCAAAATTTCGGCTTTTATCTTTTTTATAGGGAAACGTTTTTTATTCTTCATTTCCTAATAAAGTGGATGTTGTTATGATGAAATTATTATTAATTTTTTTGAGACGTATTAGTAGCAAATATAGAATGCTTTTATTTTTCTTTATTTTCTTTATTCATTTCTTTCGTACGTATTGTTTGTTTATTTCCTATTATATCTACTGTATCTGTGTAATTATGCAAAATGTAGTTTTTGCTTTATTTCCTATTATATCTATTTTTGTTTTATTTCCTATTATATCTACTGTAGTGTACACGCATGCAAATGTAATTCCCAAAATTTAACCCTTTAGAGAAAGGCATAGTTTATACTAAAATTTTGCAAGGAATCTTTTTTGTTAGAACCTCAAAAGTAGCTTTATTAATAAAAAATAACAATATCCGTGTATATACACATAGTGTATAAATAGAATTCTCTTGATTTCTCTTGATTAATGCATGCCAAAATTTGAATGACATTTGAGTGTTACTTCATAACAAGTATGTCAATATGAACTCCTATATTATTATATGTTCATTTTAATAAAAGAAATAATTTATTGATCACCCGGGTGAATTATTCACCCCCCTTAAGTACAAAAGAGACCCTGGTCATATTAATATACAGTATTAGGGTTAGATTTAGAGTTAGGGTTAGGGTTAGCCTATAGTAAAATTGCGAGAACATTTTTGCTTATGTTACACGACAGGGTTACCTTAGTAAAATTTTGAGATATTAGCATTTTTTCAATTTTTGTTATAGGGGGTGAATAATTCACCTGGGTGAGGAATAAATGTACCCTTAATAAAATTATGTCCAATTTAAGCACACTACATTATTTTGTTATTAGTCAGGTTTTATAATGTTAGATTTATTTAAAAGCCTTTTTAGTTAAAATTTCATGTTCTGTTTAATAATCCCACCTATGGCTGGATTTATCACGTGAGTGTTGTGCCCGTAACTGGCTTACCCTACGGCAAGGTCGTTAAACTGTTACTGATTAGACCTATTAGACATATAAAAAAAATGCAATTACATTAGACATTGTCTAAATAACAACCCTGCCTACGACACCTACAAAATTGTCACGAACGATAAAATTTTTAAAGTTGTATATGTTAGGGTTAGCATTTACTTTAGAGTTGGATTGTAGGTGGACGTATAGTAAAATTGCTCAAAGAAAATGTTTTATTAAGGCACAAAAGGTGATTTATTATGCATATTTTCAAGAATATACAAATTCATATGATTTCCGACCAAGAAAAAGTTGGTATTTGTTTCAACTTTGTTCCTTCGATTGTTGTTTTGTAAAGATTTTGTTTAAGAAACAAAATAGTTTAAACACATTGCATAAAGTCGAAGTTTTATGACTTTTAATGCTGAATCAATAATTAAAAGTTTAATGCAAATGTAAAGAAACTTGAATCAAATTGTACGGATGATATTGAATTATAAAATTTATGTAAATTAAAAATCTACAATAAACTGATGGCTTCGAAAAAAATTTTTTATTATATAAATTCATGTTTTTTTAATGCCTATCACACATTCCAAATCGAATAAAAGTTTAAATTTTATAGTTCATAACATTCAAAGCCCACTATAAAAAGTTATTATAGGGAGGTTTGATAAATAGATTTATAAACGGAATCTGCAACAACGAACTAATTTGACATAAGTGATGCCATAAAGATTGTAAAGTTTAAACATATTTATATAGTCAATTTTGGATATAAGAACCTTTATAACAAACTTACTCTATAAAGAACTTTTTTAAAAAAATTTATTATAGAGTTCAGTATAGAAACATAGTAATTTACTTTATAAGAAACTTTGAAAAATTTTTTTTAATAAGAATAGTCAGTTCGTTAAAAGAGAAGGGATCTTATATAAGATCTATACTTACAAGCTAATTAACGAGAAGAACCAATCAATCGTTAATTTATTGTTTAGTTGTATTACATAATAAAAAAGGTTCATTTATTGTTTGAAATATAAATACATAGTATGAATAATAAGTGCAAATAAGAAAAATGAGAAAAGAAAAAATGTTTGAATAATTATAACGATAATACGTGTCCTCATGTAAGGGTGAAATCCGCTTTTATATAATAAAAAAAACATAATAAAACGCGAATTTCACCCTAACCCAGAGTTGCCATTGGGCAATGTTCAAAATAAATTCAATTAGTCAAATGAATATTTGAATATTTGAACATAGTTCAAATATTCAAATAGTTTTTTGAACTACGCGTCACTCTGGTTATATCGACATCTCAAAAACATAAAGAAATTTCTGATATATCCAGATGTCGGTTTAGCCAAAGGCATTTTCATATTGAATATATAGCTTCAAAATTTTAAAAAATGTTGTTATAATTGATTATAAAATAGGGTCATCTATACTGTAAGAAATCTGAATATAAAATTTATAAAATATTAAATGTTAAAATTTTAATATTTGAATAGCCCAAATTAATTAAATTAGGTAGGGCAAAACGTGAAATTGTAGCTAAAATTAAATATTGGCTTAAGTTTGAAGAATATCCAGAAACCTCTGAGGATAGAGTCGTGTATGTTTATAATATAGTTGGTATAGATACTAAGAAAGCTTTTGAGATTTTTAATCTTAAAAATATTCAATATGCCTATAAAGATGAAACGACTCATGAAAGTATCTATTGTTCTTTTTTAAAAACTAAAGTTTATAAAGAAACAAGAACATGTTGTGGTGTTAAAATGTGCCAAGTTGTGGTATCTGAATTAGTAGCGATAAAACATGTATTAGTAAATTTTAATAATAATTTGTTTAAAAAATATTTGAAGCAAGTGAACTGTCTTTATATTTAAACACTTTAAGTAAGTTAAATTTATTAAATTTATAATATATATATATTAAATTTTTAATTAATATTTTTAAAATTTTATAATTAGCATATTTGCTATAGTATATAAAGTACTATATAGATTTATTTATCCTCAAACCAGTATTCAATATAATAGCAAACCTAAACTTGAAATATATTATTAGGTCATAGACAGATGTTTATCTGATTGGCTAGTTTTAAAGATTAATTTGTGAATCTATATGTGATTATTAACCAATCAAATCACATAATTTACAATTTGTAATTACCTCAAGAAAAAATTTGTATAAATTGGTATATACACATAAATTATAAAATTATATTATATTATATATATATAAAAGATAAATAGATATATATAGAGTAAGAAGAAAGTGAAATTCACTTTCAAAACAACTCTAAACTATTATATACTATATATAAATTCGAATTGGTATATACAATTAATAAACTCAAATACTTTTTAACAAATTAATTAATATCTTAAATATAAGTCTATCTCTTACATGAATACAAAGTTTTCTTTGCTCTAAACATAACTCTTAAATCTCAAAAAAAATAGAGCTTTTTTGTTAGTAGCTATTTTGTTTTAGTGTATTTTAAGATTTCAACAAAGTTCTTTTCTTTATCTCTTCCAAAATATAATATTTAAACTAACTTTTCTAAATATAAGATTATAAAAGATTAATTTTAAAATTAATTTTCTAGTATTTTTCTAAAGCTAAAATGATAGTTTTAATAATTTGTTATTTGTATAATTTTATATTTCACAAAAGTACTTTAAAGTATATAAATAAGTTACTTGGACAATTAATTTATGCTAGTCAATCAGACAAATTTCTGTTTATGAATTATTAGGCTTTATATTATTTTACTTAATTAATAATTTACTATTCAACCAGAGAGAGCTTATAGTGTAACATAATGCAGTTTACATATAGAAATTAGAGTTTTTAGAATATAAGCTATTTTTATCTAAAACTTTTTGTACTAAGTTAATCATCTTTGGGTCTTTAATTGAAGTTATAGAGCTCATCAAAACAAATCTAATAGTAGTTAAATTGTCAAAATCAGCTTTGTAGATTATAGAAAAATGTTTATTAACTATATAAATTTCTTTTTCAACAATAGTATTGTTGAAAGAGAAATTTACATAATCAGTAAAATGTTTTTTAAAAATATTTCATGATCTACTACTATTAGATTTGTCTCGACATCAGAAAATTTTTTTTGAAAATTTGTATCGATTGCTACTAGCAAAGGCGATTATAATCGATTTTTTTATATAATACATATCGATTATTGGTTATATATCGATATATATTACTAATGATATATATCAATTATAGTTATATATCAATATATATCACTAACAATATATATCAATTATAGTTATATATCAATATATATTACTAACGATATATATCAATTATTATAAAATTCGTTAAATTTTATCAAACTTTGATATAGATTTTCTTGATAACTATCAATTAAAATTGGTTAAAATTTTTATTATAGATAGTATTGGTATTCAACTATAATATATAAAATTTCAGCCAATTATAATTACTAGTTTACAAGTAATCGCTTCTATATGATAGTTAATTTTTTAAAAAAATTAACTATCATATACAATTGATTACTTGTGAACTAGTGATTATAATTGGCTGAAATTTTTATATATTATAGTTGAATATCATTACTATTTATAGTAAAAATTTTAACCAATTTCAATTGATAGTTATCGAGAAAATCTATATCAAAGTTTGATAAAATTTAATGAATTTTTGCTATATAGCGTTATTTATTTACTATTGGTTATATTTGGCAGGGTGATATATATCAATTATAAACTAGAAGATTATAATCAATATATATTCTAAAAAAAGTTTCCTGATAGATAAACTCTATAACTTCAATTAGAGGCCCAAAGGTAATTAACTTAGTATAAAAAAAGTTTTAGATAGAAGTAGCTTATATTTCAAAAATCCCAATTTCTATATAAACCGTATCATATTATACTATGAGTTCTCTCTGGTTGAATAGTAAATTACCAATTAATAAAAAGAATATTACTAACTATAACTGGTAGTGATTATCACCAGTATATAATTAGCTAATAAATTTACAGAATCAGGTATAATATACAAATCAGTTTGTATAATAAAAATAAAGATTTTTCAAATAGTACTAATATCTTAAGAATTTGTTTATAAAACTACTTTTGATATATTAGCAAAAAAAATTCCTTGCTAAATTTTGTATATATTTAACTCCTTATTAAAATCTCAGACCTCACTCTAACTCTAAAGTAAATAAAATAAATTTTTTTTGGTTTTATTATTATTAGTTAATTATATACTAATAATGATCACTACCAGTTATAGTTAGTAATATTTTAATAAAAATATATTAATTTAATTAATTTAATTAAAATTATTATTATATTATTTGCAACAAGAAGATAATACTTTTATATCTACTTATTTTATCAGTTGTAAAAATTTTAAGAAGAAAAAAAGATTATTAATATTAAAGCTTATTTGAGTAGATTAATATTGAATATTAAAATAACTCTTTGTAAATATATATATTATCTCTTAAATTATAGATTAATACAACAAATTTGTTTATATTAATACTATAAATATACTACTAATCTATTTTTAACAATTTAGAATATTCAAATAAAATTTGATATAATAATATTTGAAAATAAAAATTATTTTTTTTTTACTTTAATAATTCTATTTTTATTTTTTTATTAAAAGTAAATTACAAAATTGTCTTTAGCTAGCTAAGGGAGCTTTTAGAAATCAGCTGATTTCAGGATGGATGGGTGGGTCAGCTGGTATATCAGGTGTAATTCTGGCTGAAATTATCAAGTTTCAGTCAAAATTAAAAAATATTTTTAAACCAAATTATAACCTTGTTAATAATTAATTATAAAATTTTTTAATTATTAATAACTTTTGATCTATTAAGCTAATTTGAATAATTTAACTACCAAAATGATCTTCTCATTAAGATTCTAACAAGTCCAAAATCATAAAAATCTAATTACTAGATACTAAAATAAAAATAGTTTTATATTACTATATAATAATATAATAAAATATATTTATAGTAGATTTTTATTTAAAATAACTGGTGGTAATCATCACTGTGTATAATTAGCCAATAATGATAAACTAAATAAATATTTTATTTTATTTACTTTAGGGTTAGAGTAAGGCCTAAGATTTTAACAAGGTATTAGATATATGCAAAATTTAACGAGAAATTTTTTTATTAAAATGTCGAAGGTAGTTTTATAGACAAATTCTTGAGATATCAGCATTGTTTTAAAAAAATCTTTATTTTGGTTACATAAATTAATTTGCAGGTTACACCTGATTTTGCAAGTTTATTAGCTAATTATATATCGGTGATGATCACTGCTAGTTATAGTTAGTAAAATTCTTTATAATAATATAAAATTATTTCTATCTTAGTATCTAGTAATTAAATTTTTATAATTTTAGATTTGTTAGAATTTTCTTAATGAGAGGATCATTTTGGTAGTTAAATTGTCCAAATTGGTCTAGTAGATCAAAGTTATTTAATTGATAATCTGTTTATCAATTAAAGAATAAACAAAATGTGATGTATTTTATCTGAAAGTTTTTTTCTTACTAAGTTAACAATACATATCTACTAATTTGTAGAGCTTGTTGAGATGTATCTAATGGTGGTTAAATCATCCAAATCAGCCCAGTGGATAGTGAAATATCATTAAAAATGATTGGCTAACTATATAAAAATCCGTGACAGAAATCACATATAAAAATTACTATCAATAAAATGTGATGTGCTTCTATCTAAAACTTTTTTTCTTACTAAGTTAATAATATATACCCACTAATTAAAAGTTGTAGAACTTGTCGAGATGCATCTAACAGTAGTTAGATCATCCAAATCGGCCTAGTGGATAGCAAGATATCATTGAAAATGATTGATTAACTATATAAAATCTCTATATAAACAAATATTGTTTATATAGAGATTTTATATAGTTAATCAATTATTTTCAATGATATCTCGCTATCCACTAGGTCGATTTGGATGATCTAACTACTATTAGATGCATCTAAACAAGCTCTACAACTTTTAATTAATAGGCATATATCATTAAATTAGTAAAAAAAAGCTTTAGATAGAAGCATGCTATATTTTATTGATACTATAAATTCTCAGAATAGCGGGTATGGGCGTTAATTCAAAATTTGTGTCCTCTAAAAATAGTATATACGAATTCGAAATAACATCCATGCATGTCCAAAATAATACGCACCATATATAGAATTACTTGTCAAATTCAGATTTTGCTTTTTTTTAATTTATTAGTTTTTTGGTCTCTTTTTTCTGTTTTTACGTATGATCTTTTAACTTTTTTACGTATGATCTTTTGGCAATTAAGTTTATTAAAAATCAACACTTGATTCAAAAAAAGCCTATGGGTGTACTCAAAATAGCGTGTACGTAGTCAAAATAGCACGCAGATATCTGCTATTCCGAGAATTTACGGTAGTAATTTTTATATATGATTTCTGTTAATGATATCTCGCTATCTACTAGACCGATTTGGATGATCTAACCACTGTTAGATGCATCTCGACAAGCTCTACAACTTTTAATTAGTGAATATATATTATTAACTTAGTAAGAAAAAACTTTTAAATGAAGCACGCCACATTTCACTTATTTTTCAGTTGATAGACAGATTATCAATTAATATTAAATATTATATATAATTTTAATTATACATTTTAATAAACATGAAATCTGATTGGCTAGCAAATGAGAGTGGGGATAGGCTTGAATGATTTATTAGTAAACCCTAATCAGCTAATTTCTAGAAACTCTCTAAATCTATATACAAATCATTAATATTACTATATTCTTGTACAAATAAAAATTCTCTCAATTTGTCTTATTATCACA